ATGCAAATAAAGGAAATTGCATGTACATGTATGTCGATATAGGATGTTGCATCGGACAACTACAGGGGAACACTGTTTCTTTGGGACTTTATAAATTACCTTGTTGTAATAGCTACCATATATTATCGGTAATGGAAAACAAAACAGACTTGGGACTGATAATTTTCCTTGCTATAAATATGACGTTATATTAACAGTGCTCTTCTTTATCTGTATTGGACTGTACATGTACATCATGTACATGAATCATTGTGTGCAAGGGGAAAGTGAACTACTCTTCATATTCATGATTTATGTACGGTGCGTCTCCCTTCAGACTTCAAAAAGAAGTGTAATACAGATATATATTTTAAGCTTTTGAAGTGGAAATGGTATTTTCAGCGTTTGGAATAAATCACGAGTTTGCTTGGTGAGAGTTTTTGTCCAGGAATAAAATTAATACTAGAAAGGAATTTTTGGGCAAGAAATTATATGCCGGTACCGGATAGAAATTTTCTAAGTCCTGCAAAACATTCTTCAGTTTGGAATATAACATTCTAAGTTTTAAGGAAGGTCTGGGAAAATATTGAGTCTGGTGAAACTTTTCTTGAGTCTGAGAAAATAATTTGAAAACGGGGATAAGTGTGGGGTGGGGAAATATTCCAGAGCCGGGAAGAATTGATGAGTCCAGTTAAATATTATTAAATCCAGGAGTAAAAAAGGCCAGGAAAAGTACAGGGTACATGTATTCCCAGTCACTCTTGAAAAAATATTTATAGAGTCTGGTGAAACCTATTTTAAAGTCTGGGAAAAATGGCTGTGGCCAGGAAAACAACTAAAGGTGAGTAAAAAAAAAAAATTCATTTACATGTACTGAGCTCTGTAAAATATTCTTGAGTGCTGGGATAAAATATTCTAAGTCTTGAGAAAGTATTCTGAGTCCAGTGAAAGCTTTGAGTCTTATGGAGAATATTGATAGTCTGATAACACATAAGTTCTGACACAGGGAAAATATTGTGAGTTGGGAAGAAATATTCTGAGGATAGAGATTTTTTTAGATATTCCTGGGTCCAGGATATAATATTCTTAGTCTTTGGGAAATTAATCTGAGTCTGAGAAAAAATATTCCGAGTTTCTAAGTGTGAGGAAAGGCTATAAAGAAAATTGAGCCTGGGAAAAATATTCTGAGGCTGAGGAATTAATTTCAGCACAGCCAAAATTAATACTCAATGAATATATTCAGGCTCTACGGTAATTTAACTGATTTTGTCTCCTCGCAATCAAAAGCGCCAACTATACCGTAAGGGAATGTAATAATTGATATGATTGTGACCACAGAATTTCATTTCCAGCCAATGACTGACACTTTCTCTAATAGCTGATGACGATAATTAAGAATGTGTAGAGCTCATATATCAATTGGTTTCTTGTTTACGTCTCAGCAATTGGTATGTTGACAGTTGACAGCGTGGTGGAAGGGGGTTGGTAACAGTGGTTTGATAAGCTGGGGGGGGAGTTTAATTTAAGTCCGTACACAGATGCCAGGTGGCCTTCCTCCTTTATGAATACATAATACACAGTAACAGAAGAATGTTTGGAGAGTGGGCCTTCTGTATCAGCTGTTACGCCAAAAAGCCTTCATGTAAGTGGACTATCATGACAACTCCACGAATCTGTTCCACCTGTTGGACAAAATTTAAAGGTGCTTTTTTTTTCAGCAGAAAGCAAAAGCCTTTAATAGTGAAAATTGCCAGCATTGGATGAGTGTCTGTGAATGCAGTCATCCATGAAAGCATTATGCAAATCTGTACCCTTTGTTATGCAGGATCAAAAGTAGGTTAGCAGCACTGAAGGTCAGCCAGCCGAGGTGCACTGACCCTCGGTGCAGTGTGGTACTCTGGGGCGCGCCGCATGATTAAAATCTTTTGTTAGACATCGTGCCTAACAAATCACAGGTGATAACAGTGGACAGTCAAGCTACCGGTAAAAACAGGAAAATTTAAACAGAAACAATGTTGATCGCAGCTATTTATTTGAATAGAAGAAAAAGGGTCTTTGCGATGTATTTTGTGCCTATGATTAGCATATTTTGGAGATTTTAAACTGTCAATTTTTTAGACGATTAATAAACTGCCTTTCATCCTGTATTTATTAATTTGTGAAGTGACATTTGACCTTAATTTTGTTTTTGTAGGTCGGACACCAGATCAACTGTGTTTCTGTCCCCACACAAGAAAGGAACTCCCTTCACGTTACCAGACAACTCTTCGTATGCACAAGAAGCAAGAAGCTTCATTCACAGAAAAAGAGAAAATATTTCAACTTTCAGCAGATTCGGAATCTTTTGAAGACCTCCAAATGATGCTACATGTGAGTGTGATATCTGTGATTTTTTTTCATTATGCTTGCTTTTTGCTAAGAAATGCAGTATGCATTTTGAAAAAGCCTTTATTTTCAGCCAAAATAACCTTAAAAGCTGTTTCCTTTTTCACAAATGTGGCTGAGGTTTCTGGTGTACTCATTTTGTCACAGATTTTCTGTTCAGTCATTCTTTTGGGGGTCAGTTACATGACTCTCATTGAGAGCTACAAACCACTAGTATGTTTGTTAAACATCCAACCTTTATTTCTTGTTGCTAAAAATCAATTCAGACCTAAAAAAAACAGATTCATACATGTAAATCTATGAATGGCTTTGTCAGAATTTTCTTATCTTTTGGGGTTTGTTTTTTTCTCTCTATTTGCATTAAGCTACACTGTGTGCACTGCATTTTAAAAACTTCAAAATTTACTGCAGGTTTTTCTTTGTAATCATTAGGTAACTGGGCAGGACTTTTTTTCCTATTCTGTTCACAATAAGCATCAGAGTGAAGATAGTTATTTGTACTTCGACTGTGCAGGATGACAGGAAAAATTTTCTGAATCAAAACTACAAAATTTACATATAAGGCATGAAGTTTAATACACATAACTTCCCCTTTGATGATGTCACAGAATTTCAGTGCACATGTATGTCCCAAGAAAATATGCATGTGTAAATGTGGTTAAAGCCACTGTTGTGGCAGAAAAATACTTTTGATGTTTCTTGATTGACAAACCTACACAATGTTTGTTTATGTCTTTAATTAAGAAAGTGAAAACTGATTGTCTCGAAATTCTCTGTATGATATGGTAGAGGATCTACTGGTAGTTGGTGTGGGGCAGCAGGTTGCAAAGTTGTTTGTAGAAGAAGCAGTGAATATTAGTTAACCACTTGCCTCTTGGGTTCCCAGTACCGGGTACCTTGGGTTTTTACGAATAGCCAGGGTGCACGAAATTGGACAAAGGAGCTGGGCTGTGTAACAAAAGACTTTATTTGGAACAAAAGACCAAGTTCCTGGAAATTGGCATCATTTTTCAGCTGGCATTAGTGGAGATAATCTGTCATTGTTTTGAAACAGTTGACCACTGTTTGCAGCATTCAGCACCCGCGGATTATCAGCGGTGACAAAAGTACTCCCGTGATGAGCAATACAATACCGCTGCATGCTAATCTGGCTACATTTGAAAAGAAACCACTGCCATTCAGCAACACACTGGACCAATTTCGGGAACAAAGGAAATTACGCAACCCCACACAATCTGGGTGTAATTGTTCAGTAAATCAAGTTACAAATTTTTGAAGAATTTTGAAAACAGAAAATCTTGAAAATTGCCCGAAAACTTGTCCTGCATATGCAAATTCTACCTGGCAAGAAGTGATTAAAGAGGTTTGTGGTACCGGTAGCACCATGTAAGGATATCTCTTTCTGAGCATATTCTGAAGGTCATCAACAATGTTAAGGTATTTTGATTGCATTGAATAAAAGTTAATGTATGATGGAAAGAGACATTTCAGAATGTTTTGCTGAAATACTTGTACTTAATGTTTCTATTTATTTATATTTGATAGACACTGGAGTTTAATGTAAATAGAGACAGGGATCCTGTTGGGAATTTGCTACTCCACAGAGCTGTTCAACGAGGAATGTCCCACTTGACACTTATCATGAACCTTGTGCTTGTTCACCATGCTGATGTTGAAGCTGTTAACAACAAAGGCATGACACCTCTGTGCATTGCAGCACATTTGGGCTACGGAATCATTGCTGAGGTTTGTGCTATTTTAAGCCAATCAGGAATGTGGTCTAGGAAATTTTTGTTTAAATTTTGGCCTCAACCTTCCGTACAATGCATTCAAACTTTGATGACGTCATCACTGTTCAAATGTAGTTGCTGGCCACAAAAAAAAGTGAAAGATGAAAGACACCACAATCTTGCAACATGGAACTTGACTGCTATTTGTTGCAAAAATATTCACACACATTGTGCTAATTGAGCACCACATACATGTAGATTACTGATATTAGTGTTGTAGTCTTGGTTCCAAGATGCTCCATAACGTTACTTATTCCACAATCCACAACACAAACGGCATAGGAAGGTTTGGGACAGTTTGTTTGACCTGGGGCAGCAAGAGACTATGGTTATAATGGTAGGATATGCATTATTCATATCCCTTGAGTGAATGTCCTTCTATAGTCTGTGCAGTAGCTAAGAACTTGCAATAAGCGCAGATAACCGAAAAATTTAAGCCATTTTCAATTTTTGCCATGTCACACGTCACACAGAGGATGGTCACAATGTATGATGTTTCCGCTCGCTTCAGTTCTGCGAATTTGGTCCATTTCACCCCCAAACTGTAAATTTATTGGATGACTGCTCAACAAATATGTACAGTGCTCTACCACCCAAACAGTCACTACATATGCAAATTTCCCATGTGCCTGTTATTATTCACTGAAAAGACTTGATCATCTGAGTACAAAATGTACTTGACAATTTTGAGTATGCTTAAAAATCAAAAAGGAAATGATTACTATGTACTCAAAATTTGTTCCGGAAAGGCAGAAATGGCAGTGCAAATTGTATCGCGAATTTGATGCTTACCCTGTACATGTACATATGTCGCGATCACACACAGGTTGGTTGGTTCAGGATCTAAACACACACTGTTGATGCACTGTATACGGACACCAGGGCCATTTTATAAACCACGGCTTTGGCTTTATTCTTTGCTTCAACGTAATGAAGCCTGATTTGGAGCTCACAACAGAATGAAAGGGTGTCACTGGAGTGTAGGAAATATCACGATTCATGCAGCAGGGTGTCCCACGACATGCTGAAACTATGGACGTCCTAACATCTGTGGCTGAACCCCTTGGTGACCGAGATAACCCCAATTTCATGGATTGACCTCATCGGCGCTCGTGTACATGTACATGTATATACATGCGTATGCTTGTTTTGTGGTGTATGTGTGCCGGGCCGGGTCATGATCCAATGGCATGGATGATGTAAACACAGGATATTTATATCACGTGTGTATGTACGTTCATATATGTATAAATCTACTGGGCCTGACTGTGTTTCTCCTATGCTGCTTAAATTGACTCATGATAGTTTGGCTCAACCATTTGCAACTTTTTAATTTGTCCCTTGCTACTGGTTCAGTTTTCAAGAGTAGAAATTGGCGAATGTGGTTCCATTGTTTAAATCAGGTGATGCTCATGCTATGTCCAATTACCGGCCTATTTCACTGTGTTATGTTGTTGGGAAAATTCTTGAAAGGATAATTTCTAAATGTCTTGTTAATCAAATGTACATAGGGGGGATAATTTCACCTTGTCAACATGGATTCTTGCCCAAGTGCTCATGTGTTACACAATTAACGACCCTGTATCGTGGTTGGGCTAATGCTATTGATGTTTCTAAACCACCTTGTATTGATGCTATATTTTTGGATTGGTCAAAGGCCTTTGACCGTGTCAATCACCAAGTTCTTTTACATAAGTTACATAAGTATGGCATTTGTGGACTGATGTTGAACTGGTTTAGGTCTTATCTTAAAAATAGATTTCTGGGGATTCAGTTTCTACTTGGGCTGCAGTGCATTCTGGTGTGCCACAGGGATCTGTTCTTGGGCCTTTATTGTTTAACATCTTTGTTTTGATTTTGATGTTATTGCTTCTGTTGTTTTGTTGTCTTCTAGTACCTGTGCATGTGCTATTTGTAGTCAGGGTAGGTGCTCCCTTAAGTGAGATGGAGATTAACTACTACCCTGTGTTTGTTTTTTGAGGGTTGTTGGGTTGTTTGTTTGTTGGTTGTGGTTTTGGTTTTAGTTTTGGTTTGTTTTGGGGTCTTTTTGTAGCTGCAGGAGAGCAACTCGATGGCAATTAAGTTTGCTTTTTTGCAGTCCTGCAGGGGTGTTACATGTGTTTTGCGTTTGTGTGGATGTGGTGTTGTTGCTTGTGCTGTTGTTTCTAAGTTTGTTTGTTACTGTATTTTGTGTTTGTGTTTTTGTTTTTTGGTGTAGATTCTTAACTAAATATATATTTTTAAGTGTGTATTTTGTATCTTTTAAATTTGTAAATTGTGTAAATTTTCTGTGTTTTAATCCTGCAAAATAAATGAAATGAAATGAAATAAATATTAGCGCACGTGATTACTTAACTTTCGTAAAAGTGCAGGCGCCTAGATTTTTCCCCTATTAGGAGCCATTGCCTACCAAACAATTTTTTCTCTTTAAAGGGTTAGTTCTGTGTCAACCTGATCATCCTGAATAAATTACAAAACATATATCACCTTGTGTGCTTTTAATTTTGTTAGTAAGAGTGTTTATTTTCTGGTATTTTTGTGTTGTTTTATCTGGGTTTTTTGTATGTGCATTGTGCAGGTTGTACCGTCTGTGTCACGAGGTGTGGTCAACCCTGCAGTCCCGATAGGCCTAGCCACTTGAGCGGGTGGTTCATATGTTAACCCATAAAACCCTAGCTGCATGAGAGAATGGAATGTATTTTGGGCAGTTCTTTCAAGCATAACGGCGTAACCACTAGAGCAAGCACTCCCTTATTTAAGCAGCCATTTGTGGATAAAGGCCTAGCCACTTGAGGGGGCGCTTTCTATCCTGTTGGCAGGAATATGCGGCAGGAATGCCCTACCTGTGCTTTTTTCTTGACTCATCAGTCGAGCTCAGAGCTGACTGAAATGGCAGATTGGACCTATGGGTGACCACAGATGCCCCCAACTTACCAGAATGAGGGCAAAGGCCACGCCGCATGAGTGGGCATTCCGTATTCTAAGTGGCTCAGACGAGGACTCTGGCCTTAACTGCGAGCAAGAATGCCCTAGCAGGGCTTTTTCTCACTCATCTCTCACTCAACAAGATGCTGACAGAAGTGGGAGCAGGGATTCCCCTTCTCGGGGTTAATTCCTGACTCATTACAATTCTACCTCTCTGCTCTCCAACAGTCAACTGAGCCATCTGAGTGACCAGTCAGCCCCATGCGTCTCCACCTGTCACCTGAGAGAGTGATGAATCAGCCCATCAATTGCTCAAGGCTCAGAAAAACCTGTGTGGCTATGGAGCCCACAGACTGCTACGTTGCCGAGGCTTTCGACCTCCGCAGCCTATTTGTGGCTCTGGCTTTCAGCTTGGTATTTCTAGCAATCCTGACCTTACTTCGGCTGGTTCATTGACTGACAATGGTTCAACTTAAGCCAGCCAACCTCAAGACTGCCCGCCCAGGTGGCCTCAGGCGCTTCCGGTTTCCTCAGATGCCGGCTCACCCTCACCCTGGAAACTCAAGAGCAAGAGTTCTTCATCAATTTCTTCAAGAGAAGCCACTCGAAACGACAGGAATCTCCACCTGAGCCATTGATGGCAGTATTCCAGTCTATTGACAAAACTCTGTCCTCCCTTGTCCAGTGCCTGAGCGACAAACCCCCACCAGCTTCTACTGCTCCAGACCCGGATCTGCCATCCATGGACCCACCACCCTCCACCTGTTCTGCATTCCCGCATGACAGTGGAGAACACAGAACTTTTTGGGGTGCACATCAGCCTGGCAGTCCCCACCAGAACACACAAGACTGTCCACGGCTCACACTACAACACAGCCTTGTCTCAACCTTAGCAACTGGCCACGTCTTCGGATAACAATGACAGTGATTCTGTCAGCGACCCCACCCCCTCCGAAGGACACCCCCATCTTATTCAGCGAGACATGGTTCAAGTGCTTGGCCTGCCATCAGCCGCTCCTTCCAGAGGAGGACATCAGCATGATGTCAAATGACACACAGCATGACTGGAACCTTCAAGGCCAGTTTTTCCATATTACTTGATCGTTCATGCATGGAGATATTCTAGTCTCTAGCCAGAATTTGCTGCGCATTAGAGTGTGCTCCAGCTTGATGGTCCTCCGCCTTGCCATCTGTCAATCTATGGGGCACCTTGGCTCTGATGATAACATATGGCCTTGCTTCAGTCCAAGCACGTGATCATGTCCTTGGTAGAAGATGACACTGATTCCATCAGCGTCCTCACCCCTATGACATATTCCAGGTTCTCGGTTCTGTGTCAGCTTCCCTTCCAGAGCAAGACACCAACCACACCCGTGCCAGTCAACCGACCGCCCTACGTCTTGAGCCTCTGCCTTCAGCTACTCTTGCTATGGGGCTCCCAGGCATGAAATAGAGTCTCACCTTACCGGACCGCTCCCTCTTTGTTATCTGGAGCGGCACTGGTGTATACAGTGCCAGGCATGGCACATTGTGCAACTCCTCATCACCTGCAGTTCATCTAGGGTATTCCGGAAGAACGTTTCCGAAATGTGTGGTCAGTGTATGGTGATCACGCCCTCGTCATTTCATTTCATTTCATGCCCAGTCATTCTTATTCGACATGGTCTTTGTCCCTGTTGCAGCTCATTTTGCACCGTCAAGGACTGAACTGTTGTTTGCCATCTGTCTAGTCCAGCATTTTTAGGGTAAATTGAATGGGTACCTCAAGACATTGAAGTCTGCAAAATTTGTGTTGAATCTTGCATTCTGTGCCAACATCCTGCATGACTTAACTCAGCTTTCCCTTGGCTTTTAGTCAAATGAAGCTCTTGTCTATCAAGTGATTGCTAACACTGAAGCAATGCTGATGCACTTCGGATGAAAAAGACAAAGCCTGGGAGATTGACAAGTGCAGTACAAGAAGAGGTTACACAGGATGACAAATGGACTTTCGGTACATTCATGGTGGAAGCATTCAACAAGGTGTCTAGA